TAAATAAATGAAATAGAAGAAGTGAGAGGAAGGGGGCAGGGAGAGGATGCAACTATAGGCAGAACCCAGATGTGAAGTGTGAGAGAAAATGAATAGAGATGTACAATAAAGGGAATCCTAGTTGGGTATGGTAGCACAAACCCATAATCTGAGCACTTGGGAGACTGAGGCAGGAATATCTCTGCAAATTCAAGACCAGCCTGAACTACATAGGGAGACCCTGTCTCAAAAAACAAAGCAAACTAAAGAGAATCCTGAGTTGTACCAGAGTCAGATTTCAGAGTAAATTTGGGGACTATTTGAGGCCCAGGGTTAGCTGTGTGGTGGAATGTTACTGGCAATAGTGGCTATGGTGAGTTGACTTTATCTTTTGTTGTTAGAGAAAACTAACTGACAAAGGAAAGGGGAAGTTTACATAGTAAAAATCATCAATCTTGAGTCCATAAACTTGGAAATTATAAAAATTGTTACAATCCCCATTGGTGTGACTTTATTTTGGAAGTTTAACTCTGCTCATTGACTTTGGTAGCCTACTGAGATTGTTCTTTTTGGTGAGTTATGAACAAGTAAATTGATAAATGATCAACATACACATGTACACACACACGCATACACACACATGCACACGCACACTGGTTTTCTAGTTGGCTTTCCTCCCCACGGTACCTAATACACCGACTTCCTGTTTTTCCTCTGCTTGGGGTTGAGTCCTCCCCAGCCGAGCCACTTATCAGTGTTCTCTCCTTAATCACTCATAATAATTCTTCATTCTGTAATAGGTCTTTGTTTCCATATGCTAACTAAATGTGCCACTTCTTTCATCTCTGCATTTTATTGAGTCTGAGGCCATAGTAAAAATTATTTCAATACTAGAAATTTATTACTCAATGTATTCTGAGTGCAAGACCTAGCCTTATGGATGAATATGATGTGTTAGTCATCTTTCCATTGTTCGGACAAAATACTTGAGAAAATCAACTTATAAAGAGAAAAGGCTTCTTTTGGCTCATGGTTTTGGAGATTCCAGCTCCTGATTGATTGGCCCATGGCTCTGTTGCTTCTGGGCCTGAGGCATCACATTTTGGCAAGGAGTGTGTAGCCGAGCACAGCTGCTTCCCTCAGGGCTGGAGAGAAAGAAGGAGGGGCCAGGGTCCCACATCGCCTTCACAGACACAGTGACTAGAGACCTCCCACTAAGCCCCACATCTTAAAGGCTCCACCACCTCCCAAGCTGGGGACCAAGACCTTAAGGTGCAAACTATAGCACTTGCCATATGGAGGAGATACAGAAGTGGTTGATAAGCATCTGAAAAGCTGCTCAACATTATTACCCATTAAGGAAATGCCAATTAAAGCCACAATGATATACTACATCACACCAAATAGAATAGCTATAATTCTTTTTTAGAAAAGAGAAAAATGACAAATATTATTGAAGATGTAAAGAAATTGGTATGCTTACACACTGCTGGTAGGAGAGTAAAACAGTGCAGCCTCTGTGGAAAACGATTTGGCAGTTTCTCCAAAAATTTAAACATAGTTACCATATGACCCAGTAGTTTTACTCCTCGGCACATATCCAAGAGAAATGAAAACATATGTTCACATAGAAATGTGTGTGCAAATGTTTATAGCAGTATCTTTCTAAATGGCCAAAAAGCAAAAACTTGAAATGCCCACCATCTGACAAATAATAAACAAAAATCTCCTCTAAGTAATAAAACCTTATGTGTCATGAAAGCAGACTTGTAAAGAGATTCACTACTAGCCAGGCATGGAGGCATATAGCTGTAGTCCCAGCAGTTGGGAGGTTGAGGCAGAAGATCACCACCAGTGTGAGGCCAGCCTGAGTTACACAGTGAGTTCAAGGGCAGCCTGGGTTGAGTCCCAAAAAAGTATTAGCTAAAATATATCAGAAAAATACAATCAATTTATTATGTTTCTTTTTTTTTTCAGTACCGGGAATCAAACTCAGGACCTTGTGTTTGTGAGGCAGTTGCAGCACCACTGAGCTAAATCCCCAGCCCCTATTATGTTTCTATTTAATAATTTTTCTTTTAAGAATCAGGTTTATTGCATCAGCATCCACAAACTCAAGTTAACTACATACAGATCAATGTTCTATCTCCCACCACTTCATCTGGATGCCTGAAAAATAATCCCTCCCTGCCCCCCTCCACCCCACCCATGCTGGGATTGAACCCAGAACTTCAAGCATGCTCAGCAAGTGCTCTGTTACTGAGCTACACCTTCAGCTTGAAAAACAATTCTTATGTCTTTGGAAATGATTTTCTTACTTGCAAACTGCCTAAAATGAAACATGAAACATTGCTTTTATTGTTTCAGTAGATCTCTCCATTTATTCTTTAAAAAATTCTTTTTAAATTTAAAAAATGTTAATAAGCAATGTCTTCCTTGTTATTGGTAACAGGTCTCGTATATCTTTCCTGTTTAATTTATGATACTATTATAGATAGTATTTTTTATTAATAGACTTTACTTTTAGAACAATTTTATATTTAAAGAGAAATGAGTAGATAATAGAGTTTCCAAATACACCCTGCACATTTTCTCTTACTATTGACATTTTACACTAGGTAAGGTAGGTTACAATTAATGAAGCAATGTAAATCACTTATTATTAACTGAAGTCCATAGCCTATGCAGATTTATTTTTTCTGCCACTACTCATTTCTATTCCAGAATTCCATTCAAGGTAAAACATTGTATTAATGTTCATGTCCCATTGGCTCTTCTTGGCTGTGACAGTTTCTCAGACATCCCCTGTTTTCAATGATCATGAAATTTTTTAAGGCATTCTGGAAAGATATTGGATACTTTTCTTTTGGAACTTGTCTGATCATTCTCCCCACAAATAGGTAAGGAAGTGGGAGGAAGCTCACAGAGGTGAAATGTCACTTTCAGTATGTCCTGTCATGGTACCTCCTGTCAAAATGATTTATGACTATTGACAAGACATTGATCACAAGGCTGAAGTAATGTCTCCCAGGTTTCTTCATTGTAAGATATTCTTTGTCCCCTCTTTCCATACTGTACTCTTTGGAAGGAAAGTGCATATTTAAAGCTAGAGAGATATGCTCTTCATAATATTCTACATATTATCTACATAATTTAATTGGAATTTGTCCTAGTCATTTTCCCATCACTTGGGACAAGATACCCAACATTTGCAACTTAAAGGAAGAGAGCTTTATTTTGGTTCATGGTTTCAGAGGGTTCAGTCTGTGGTTGTCTTGCTCCAAGACAGAAATAGCATGGTGAAAAGATTTGGGTGAAGGGAAGCTGCTCATCCTGTGGCAGCGAGGAAGCAGAGAGTGAAGGGAGGAGCCTGGGGGGGCAATATATCCTGCCAGATTATGTCCCAAGTGACCCACCTGTAACCAGGCCCTACCTCATAACAGTGAGTCAACTATGAACTCATCAGTGGACAATTACTCTGATGAGTATAGCACCCCCATGATCCAATCACCCTCCAAACACGTGAGGCTTGTAGTAGACATTTCAGATCTAAACCACACCAGAATTCTTCTGCATGGGAGATTTGACTATTCTTTCCTATTAATGTATTCAATCACTTATTTACATAATATGGACTTATAGGTATGCATTTTATACTATGAATTATATAACCCTATGCTACTTCATTTATTTTGTTCCTTGTATCATCACAGCTTTGGCCATGAGAAGCTCTTTTCTTTTTTTTTTTTTTTTCTCTGAACTAGGATTTTATTTATCACTATTAAAAATCTGGATTTTAAACAGACTCTTGGACTGGTGGTTCATATCCATCAGCTCGTTCAACTTTAGCTCCAGTCTCATCTCCAGTAGCTTTTCCAGAGCTACTACCTTCACCATGAAGCTCCATGAGTTTTCCCAATTCAAACTTGGGCTTCTTCAGCATTTTCACTTTTCTGACAAAGACATCATGAAGAGGATAAATAGACTGGCAAGCTTTTTCTATGTCTTTCCCAATGCTGTCTGGAATCAACTTATTTACCACTTCCTTCAGGTCATTTGTCTGCACCTCTCGGGTCATGAGTTCCATCATCTTCTTCCGGATTTGGCGGACCTGTTGGTGCTGAGCATAAGAGGTCTTCCGTATCTGATTGTTCCTTTTTTTAGTAAAACCAACACAAAACAAACGAAGCAAATAACCATCGGTAGTCTTGACATCAACATGAGCTTCGATCATGGTCTGCCATTTCTTGACCGTGGAACACATTTTGTCACGGGTGAGATCCATACCATGGAAGTTAGGCAGTTTTTGCCCTGAACATCTTCCGTAATTAGCTTGAATTTTCTAAAGGCAACTTCATCGTTCTACGGATCAGCAAGGCTCACTTCAAACACATGACCCTTGAGCCCATCAGATGCAATTTTGGTTCCTTGAGTTCTGGTGACTAGTGTTTTTCCAATATTTCTTATGTTGAACATAGCCGGTGCCTTCACGTCATACCAGTCGTTTTTAGAAAATGGGTCAACCACTTTCTTCTTGGCTCCCTTTTTGCCGCCTTTCCTAAGGCGCTTGTTCTTGCCCACCGCCATGGTGCTGCTCAGAGAGCCAAAAGAGCGGAACTATAACTCGCGCGAGAACTTAGGCGTATGGGACCCGGGCGGGCAGGGTGAGAAGCTCTTTTCTTTGAGTCCTGTGTCCCTTTAAAAATATTCATAAAATGTATGTTGTTAAAAATACTCATAAAAATGTATGTTGCTTTTGTTTTAATTTTTGAGTACTTCTGTACCTTCTGGTATTCAGACTGTGCTTTAAGCTGATCTTGTACATTTCCTATACCAGTCTTGGCATCAGCCATTTCTCCAAAGATCCCTGGTTGCTGTTACTGAAGGTTGATACTAGAAACCGAAATCGGGGAGCAGATGTTTCAGTGCTTTTTTAAATGCTATAAAAAGCCATGGTGGGCTGGGGATTTAGCTCAGTGGTGCCGCCACCTGCCCCAAAAGCTCAAGGACCCAAGTTTGATCCCTGGTACCAAAAAAACAAAAAACAAAAAAACCATGGTCAGGTAATGGTTTCTGAAACATGTCACTGAAAACAAGTAAATTGGGCACCATCAAAATTCAAAACCTTTATTTGTCAATAGACACTATCAAGAAAAGAAAATCCTACTGAAAGGGGGGATATTTACAAATTAGGTCTATTATAAAGGTCTAATATTCAAAATATGTACAACTCCATAATAAAAAAAAAACCTAATTAAAACTAAGCAAAGGATTTCAATAAACATTTCACCAAAGAAGATTTACAGTGGACAATAAATATGGGAAAAGATGCCAAATATTGTCATTTATAGGGAAGATGTAAATAAAAACCGCAATGAGATAGCCAGCACACTCACTAGAATGACAATCATTTCTTTTTTATTATTATTCGTTAAGTTTATTGGTACATTTTAGGTATGCAATATGATGACATTCATCATTGGGCATTTGTACCTTTCCATGATATATCTTGGTATGACAATCATTTCTAAAGGAATATAAATGTACATTGGTAAGGGCATGAAGAAATAGAAAGCATCATACATTGTTAGTGAGAATGTAAAATGCTGTTGCCACTGTGGACTACAGTCTGGCAGTTCCTCAAAACATTAAATGGAGTGTTACTATATGGCCTAGCAATTCTACTCCTTAGTTTATAAACAAGATGACTGAAAACATATGATCATTGTATCATATCAGCATTATTGATAATAGCCAATAATGAAAGTAACAAAATGTGTATCAACTGATCAATCAATGAACTTCGAAAATACTATGCTAAGTACAAAGAATCAGACACAATAGGCAATAGGAAAATCCAGGTGGACAGAGACTATGTTAGTGGCTTCCAAGGGATGAGAGGAGGGGAAACTAGGAAGTGTGGAGTTTCATTGTGGTGATGGGAATGTGGAAATAGGTACTGGTGGAGGTTGTGCATCATTATGAAAATACTAAAAATCACTGAATTGTGCACTTTCAAGTGGTTAAGATGACAAATTATTTGTTATGTGAATTTCATCCCCATATAAAACTTTAAAGGAATATACTTTAAAAAGTTTTAAATAATATGATCACACACAGAACAAATGTGGTCTATACAGCCAGACAAAATATCCCCTCTTCTTTGAGGCTTTCACCATTTTTATAAATGGAATTAATCCTTTAAGTGCGACACTTCGTGGATAATCACCATGAATTAGTTATGTGTTAGCCTTTTCCTGTCGTCTTCTTAAAGTCAACATTGTTTCATTCTATTTAATAAACAATAGTGCCTGCACTCAGGAGGCTGAGGGAGGAGGACTGCCATGAGTTTGAGGCCATCCTGGGCTGCATAGTGAGTTTAAGGCTAGGCTGAACTACATAGTGAGACCCTGTCTCACAAAATATAAAAAAAAACACAAAACAAAAAACACTGAGAAACTATCAGCTGTTTAGCACATTGCCAAATGTTAGAGACACCAAAATATACACATCCTAAACTTCTAGCAACATACCAGAGGTAGAGTGAGGTGAGACAGTGTGGAAGCTCATTTCCAGGAAGTGAGAAGGGACTGAAGTAGAGACCTGAGAAAGAGAGACAAGGAGGACAGTCCTGAGGGCAAAGGAGGAAGAAGCAACTCGGGTCTGAGCTCCAGCAGTGGCAGGAGGGATGGATGAAGGGAATACATTCAGGAGACAGGTTGGAAATACAATCTACAGGATTTGAAATTTCATTGTGAAATGGAGAAAGAGAGTCAAAATGAAGGCATTGTTTGTTCTTGTTGTTTGTTTTTTCTTTTTTTAAATTAAAAGCAAATGAAAGATTGATTCTGTAATTCCAGCATGCTGGGATGCAGGAGGATCATAAGTCCAAGTTCAGCTGGGCAATTTAACAAGACTTTGTCTCAATGTAAACAAACGAACAAACAAACAAAAAGAAGGCTGGCAATGTAGCTCAGTGCAAAGGCCCTAGTTTCAAGAAAGAAGAAGGAAGGAAAGAGAGAGGGAGAGAGAGAAAGGAAGGAAAGAAGGAAAGAAAAAAAGAAAGGAAAGGGGAAATGAAAGGAAGGGAAAGGAAAGGGAAGGAGGAAAGGAAGAAAGGAAGGTAAGGTGATTCTACTGATATGAGGTACCTAGAATTGGCATATTTACAGATACAGAAAGTAGAAGAGAGGTTACCAGGGGCTGGAGGTAAGAGGAATGGAATTTCTCTGTTTAGATATGATGACAAGGTTCCGGTCATGATGAGTGTTGATGGTTGCCCAAGGCCCCTGAATTATACACTTAAGAGTGGTTAAAATGGCAAGTTTCATGTTATATATACTTTATCTTAGTAAAATGATTTTTTAAAAAGCAAATGAAACCCGGGCATGGTGGGACATGCCTATAATCCCAGAACTCAGGAAGCTGAGGCAGGAGGATCACTGAGAGTCTGAGGCCACATAGTGACTGGGCTACATAGTGACTTCAAGACTATTCTGGGTCTTGCGGAACATGCTGAATCAGCCTGCTGCAGACAGGCAGGTCTGCCCACGCCCTACCAAGGTCCCGAGTCGCACAGAAAACGCCGAATCAGCCC